GGCCGGAGCCGAGCCCCGCGGTGCTGCGCCGCCCCGGGCGCCTTGGAAGCCGCGGCGCCGATCCCAGTGGAGAGCGACTTCTCCAGGCTCAGGCCAGGCGCGGTTCCCAGGAGCATCCCACACTGCAGAGACAGAGAAGGGAACGCGGCGCGACGATGGGAGACCACTGGGCAGAATCACAGCTCCAGTCCGAACTCCTGCGCTCCCTGCAGTCCTTATTCTTCAGCACCCGCACACCCCTATCTAGAACCTCGCCCTGCTTCCTGTCCAGCCTCAGAGGACCCTGCTAAACTGCAAACCGACCTCCTTAGAGCTTAAGCCTCTTTTCTTTCCCTTCATCGATAATCAAGTTTATGGTGTTCTGTATCAGATCGCCACGCAGGCCCTGGATAAGAGAAACGTTCTCTCCCTCTCCCAGGCGTTCGCTTGGGTCATTATGCCGACCAGCCCCTCCCGCCGGGCTAGTTCCTGTTTATCCTTGGGGTCCCCGACCCCACCAGCTCCTCGGTTTTTATTTGTTTTTGTCATTTTATGTGTGTGTGTCAATAATAGAAATTGAACCCAAGGCCTCCTCACTCACGTTAGGCAACATGCTTTACCCCTGGACTATATACCCAGCCCCTTTTTCCTTTCCTTTTCTCTTTTTTTTTTTTTTTTTTTAGACAGGGTATGGTTAAATTGGCCAGGCTGGCCTGGAACTTAAGATGTTCCTGTCTCAGCCTCTCAAGCAGCTAAGATTATAAAGTAGGATAAGCCACTGCACCAGGCACCATGTACTTGTTCCCCTTCTGATCTGTGAGCATTCTAGGGCCCAAGAAACCTCTCAGTTCACCCCAGTGGTCTGCACAAGACCCCAAGTAAAGGTTTGTTGATTTAAATTGTTTACTACGGATTTAAACTCCTAGAGGCTTAGGAAGGGTTTTTCCATGTTAGGTGGTCATTTACCAAGCACCTATTGAGTGTCATAATTATTGGGCAGCTTCATTTTTAAAATGGCTCACTTCAAACGGTGTGGTGGTGCATGCCTATAATTCCAGTACTGGAAAGGCAGAGGCAGCAGGATTGCTGTGAGTTTGAGGCCAGCCTAGGCTACATAGTGAGTTCAAGGCCAGCTTGGGCTACATAGTGAGACCCTGTCTCAAAAAACAACAAAAAGCCTCCCTAAATAAACGTATTTGGGTCCTTCTCATCTTGAACAAAGAATTGAATGAGATGAGCCAAAAATGGTGTCAAAAGCCAGGCATGGTGGCGCATTCCTGTAATGCCAGCACTTGGGAGGCTGAGGCAGGAGAATCTCTGCAAGTTTGAGATCAGCCTGGACTACAAAGTGAGCTCAAGCCCAGCCTGAACTGCATAGCAAGACCATCTCAAAAAAGACAAAAAAAAAAAAGGTGACAAAGTTTATTTGAAAAATGAAGGGTAAGGCAGAAACTGGCTCTGCAGAGCGACTTGGGCCAAACAAAAGAGAGGAAAAGATAAAAGCAAAAATAAAAGTACACCCTAGGTCTGGTAGACACAGGGCAGGATACCATGAAAGAGACACCATGGCATGCTCCTCATGGCATCTGTGTGCTCACATGCATTCACTATCTCATGGGAACCCACCGGAGACCTATATACGGGTGCCTTGGGAATTATGTGCCACTGTCCTGGGATCTTGCAACTAACAGGTCCCACTTATTCCCGCAGCCAGCTTTGCCACACTGTTCCTTCCTGCCTTGTTGTGATACACTGGACTTCTCAGCAGGAGCGTTGACAGGAAGGTAAATGAACTATGAGATGAGCTAGGAAGGCCATCCCAAGCTCCAGCTTCTTAGCCCTGGCCTAGCTCTCAAATCCCTCTTCCAGAAACTGCTAGCCGCCTGGGAGACGTCCAGCCAGCATCTGCAAACTTCACTTACTGCCGCAGGAGGGCAAGAGCTAAAAGCTCCCAGGACACTGATTCAGGACTATCCTGACCCTCTGCCCTCATAAAGTCATTCACTTGGAGTGCAGACATCCCCTGCTCATCGCTAGTGTTAACTCTACATCCAGACTTGTGGGCTTTGCCTCCCAGCCTACTGCTCACTAGGGGCATTATCTTAGGCAAACTGTCCGACTCCTCTGTGCCTCAGCTTCCTCATCTGAAAATGGGATCTGTCGGCTGGGCATGGTGGCACAGACCTGTGATGCAAACACTTCAGAGGCTGAGGCAGGGGGATCAAAAGTTCGAGATCAGCCTAGGCTGCACAGCAAGACCTTGTTTTTTAAAAAAGAGAAAGAGTCTGCC